CTACAACTTAAAAGCAATTACCAAATTCTGGTAGTAGTCTGAAGAAAAATAAGAACTGAAGTTATTAATAAAAAAAGCACTTTAGGAGAGAACAAGGTAGAGGAGAGGGAATTATACAAGTAAAGTAGTTTGAATTCTGAACAAAGCAGGAAACACGGCACAACAGTCTCATCCTCATTTTCAATACAAAAGATATACAGGAAAAGCAGTTGATAGCTTCTTAGTAATTCTACAGAACTTGCTTTTTTTTTTTTTAATTCCAACCGCTTACCCTTTACAATGTATCTACTTTAATCAGCAAAACGAAATCACTCATTTTCGTCCTGTTCTCTTCAGTTTCACATTATAATACAGCTGCTGGTTTTCAAGGTGAATGTATATGTATTATCCAAGCCATGATATCTCTGCACAATTCTTGACATTACTATGCCATATTCAGGTTGTGACCATCAGCCCTTCACTAACTCCACTCAGAGAAGCTAAATCTTCCTCCTAACACCCAGCTACACAACCCTAAGGAGAAACTGAAAGTGGAAATACACAACTCATTAGACACAGATCATTCTATACTAAAGACTGTTCTTACAACAAATCAAAAAGCCCACAATATTCTGACAAGTACCACACTTCTAAAAAGCATTAATGAACCAGGGAGAAAAGCTGTTAATCACATGCAGATTTGTTTTCTACAGAGCTGGTTTGTAAATACCGTAAAAACAGCCAAGGATAACAAAAAAATTGCTTCATATTAATGAAGATGCTACAGTCTTAGCTTCCACAAAGTCAGTAAATAATCATGCCTCCTTAACATAACAGCAAGGATACTATTACAAGCACAAGCGACTCTCATGATACTCAGCCTGGAGAACTATGCAAGCATATAAAAACATACTATCAAATAACTTAAGACAAGATTTTGAATTTTAAATTATTCTGAACCATACAACAAATGCCACCTTTAAGAGGCTAAACTTCCTTACCATACCCAGATTAGGACTCAGTAAATAAATACATTAACAGTATCAGATAACAATAAGAACTAGAACTAAGCTGATCCAGTAAAGCATATTTGTCCTATTCTTTGGAAGGTTCAACTCTGTTTTCTACAAGAACACCTGAAAAATTAAAACAAAAAAAAACTGCCCTACCTGCAACACTTCTCCATCACCTAACGTTTTAATAAACACGCCAACACATTTTACAAGAACAGAAATGCCTCGGTACTACCT